TCTAGCCCAGGTAATCATGGGTTGGCTAGAGGGGGCAGGACAAATGCAAGCCCATGAAAATTGGGGAATAATCCTATAGACAAAGGAGCTTGCTCTCTGGGCTCTTGGCACTCTTGGCTCTGAGCTCTTGTGGCTTTCTTGTATTTGGCCCTGTTCTCTCCATAGCCATGTGGCCCTGTGGACCCCACATGCAATGGACTGATGGACTGCAATGGGGAATACAAGCTAACCCAGGCTGATGCTGGATTAGATTGTGCAGACATGGAACAGAAACTCTGGGCAATGTCTTTAATCCTAGCTTTGCTGAAGTCACATCCACACTTCTCCGATGGTGGGACAAAGGTGTAGGGGGCGGCTATAGGATCAAGCCTTGGACTGACCTGTGGCAGAGCCACATACAAGTCCCAGCTTGGCGGGCCGAGCCCTCCTAGCACAATTAAGCCTGACCTTATAGTCCTCCCTTGTTCCAAGGTAGCTAATGGGCTGTGGGAGGTGCAGCAAGAGCTGCCAAAACAAGGCTTGAGTAAACATGTTGACCACTCCCCTTGTTTTGCTTTGTGTGATCTGACTATAAAATAAAGCTTCGGCTTATAGGCTGTGTCACTGTTTCCTCATCCAGGCAGTGATCCACCTGGTCCCAACTGTATTCTCTTGTCTGTCTCCTTTAATCCTTCACCGCCCCTCCTCAGGTTCACCCGTGGCCATGCTGGACCCTGTTCAAAAGGAAAATGGGACCTTAGAAAATCAGAGGTTTAATTCCATGCAAATAAAAATCACTCGGTCTCCCTTGCAAGTCTCAGAAAATTCTTTTTCTCATGATATGGCAAGAAGCCCATTCCCATCAGCAACTGATAAGGATGAGGAAAGCTCCCACCAATAACAAGAGAAGTAACCCCATCTCAAACTGGCTTAAGGAGATAAAGGAATCCATGGCTCGTAACTGAAAACAGGAGGCATGGCCGGATCTAGGTACTCCCATGGTACCATCACACATTCCTGTCTCCTAGTTCTGCCTTTTTCTTATTGATTCCTTGGTAAGGCAGGAGCTCCTGAAGTTTCTGGAAACACTGCCACCAGCCACTTGGCTATCCCAGTGAAGCATGCTTCTGTGGCCGAAACCGGTTTGGCTCAGTGGATAGAGCGTCGGCCTTCGGACTGAAAGGTCCCAGGTTCTATTCCGGTCAAGGGCATGTACCTTGGCTGCGGGCACATCCCCAGTAGGAGGTGTGCAGGAGGCAGCTGATCGATGTTTCTAACTCTCTATCTCTCTCCCTTCCTCTCTGTAAAAAATTAATAAAATATATTTTTTAAAAAAAGAATGCTTCTGTGATAGATTGTGTCATTGGCCCCAATTCTTCACCCCCTTCTGACCTATCCCCTTTGCCATGTAACTGTAGTGTGTGGCTATGAGACTTGCTCAAGCCAAAAGAATGAGGTAGAGGCGACAGTGGCAGCTCCAAGCCTAGGCCTCCAGAAGTTTGCCTGAAGCTCTCTTGTGCTTCTACCGCCTCTATGAGAAAGACGTGCCCAGGCGGACCCCTGGTTCTAGGAGGAGTATTTTACTTCATTAGGGCTGCTATAACAAAATATCACAGATTGGGGAGCTGAAGCACAAGAGAAATTTATTGCTCACGGTTCTGGAGGCTGAAAGTGCAAGATCAGGGTGCCAGCAAGGTTGGATGAGGGCTCTCAATGGGTGACATATTCTCTGTGTATCCTCACATCGTAGAAGGGAGTAGGGAGCTTTCTGGGGCCTCTTTTAAGGACACTAAACCTATGTATGGAGGCTCGAATCACCTCTCAAAGATTCTACTTACTAATACTCTCATTTTTGGGGAGTAGGGATTTCAACATATGAATCTGAGGGTGACACAAACATTCAGTCCATTTCAAGGAGGAAGAGAGACACAAGGAGCAAAGCTGAGTTATCCCAGCCAAGGTGAACCTGGACCAGCCCCCCACTAGATGCATGACCTAACCCAGAAAAGACTGAAGAGCTGACCCCCTCAGGCCCATGATAAATCAATATTATGAATGCCACAGAGATGACAGAATATAATTATTACAGCTTCTTTTTCAGCCATTCCAGCCATTCCCCGAGTCACCTACCCAAAACCAAACCAGTCACTATGGTTCTTTGTATCTCGAAATTTATATGGTCTAAACTTGGCAAGGGTGGGTTTCCCAAAGGTAACCTGGGTTCTGAAACAGAAGATAAAGTCGGTCAGGCATCCACTACAAAATGTTCCTCTGGCTTCAACCACGTTCTCTGCAGGAGATTTGGGGGTTGGAGGGCTTTTATCCTATTAACAAAGTCAAGAAGTGAGACATCTGGTCCCTATGGAAAGCTCACCAGTCTGTCCACATCCTCTGGTCAGGTAGTGGCTGAATTTGAGTCTGTCTTAGGGGTATTCAGGATCATTAAGGGCGAGTGTAATGGGTCTCAGTGCTCAGGCCTCAAGGGGCCCATTCTCAGCTCTGCCCCTGGTTTCCTTTGAGAATCCTGCTATGTCTCAGCTTTTCTCTGCTCAAGGATTTTCCTGCAGAAACTTTCTTTATAACGTATTGCTAGTATTCAAGACTCTTCAGTAAACATTCAACATATACTACATACACATGTCTGAATAAGGTGAGATTCATTTGTCTTCAAATTATCCCTCAGAAAAGAGAGAACTGCCTTCTTTTTGAAATCTTCCAAGTCTCTCACACTAAGAGATGCTCTTTCGTTTCCCTTATTTGGAAAACCCTTGTTTTACTGTAAAGCAGCGGTTCTCAACCTGTGGGTCGTGACCCTTTGGGGGTCGAACAACCCTTTCACAGGGGTCGCCTAAGACCATCGGAAAACACATATATAATTACATATTGTTTTTGTGATTAATCACTAAGCTTTAATTATGTTCAATTTGTAACAATGAAAATACATCCTGCATATCAGATATTTACATTACGATTCATAACAGTAGCAAAATTACAGATATGAAGTAGCAACGAAAATAATTTTATGGTTGGGGGTCAGCACAACATGAGAAACTGTATTAAAGGGTCGCGGCATTAGGAAGGTTGAGAACCACTGCTGTAAAGTCTGCAAATCCATATTGGTTTGGGCTGCTTATAGAGTTCATCTCAGAGTCAGAATTATTTAAGAGAGAATAAGACATTGCAGGAGAGGAAGCTGGGTGGAGGTGGAAGAGGACATAGAGGGGATAAATGGTGATGAAAAAAATAAAATAAATAAAAACAAACAAAAAGGAGAATAAGAAAATTTAGATTTAGTAACTATTTTTGGTGGCATGATTTTATGAATTCAATTGCGAGCTTTGTTAAACAAGTTTTTTAAAGATTACAAATCAGTACTTATTGGTTAACATTTTTAAATAGAAGTATTAATGTTAATGACCAAGGGTAGTTAGGTCTTGAGATCAAATTTTCAAAAGTATCCTTAGACACGGGTCCAGAAAGTTCCCTATCCTAAAGATATAGACAAGCCAATAACTTGTGCTGGACAAAAAAGGAATTGTCATGCCAAAACCAGGTGCTACAGGTGCAGGTGAAGGATTTGAGTGAAGCGGTTGCATGAGATGTGCTTGGAAAAGAACAATATTTCTAAATTAATACACCATAGTTGTAAATGTGTGAGTTTAAATACGTAAAGTACAACCTATTATTTACTATAAGGAGATTTATTTATTTCCTCTGCAACCATACATGTGTGTTTACTGCAGCTATAGAAGTCTTGAATTTGGATAAATTGATTCCTCCCACTTTATTATTATTATTATTCAAAATTGTTTTAGCTATTCTAGGTCCCTTGCCTTTTCATATAAATTTCAGAATAATATGGTCTATAGCTACAAAAGTCTGACTGAGATTTTGATAGAAGTGAAACTAAACCCGTATCTCCCCTAAACTTGGGGAGAACTGACATCTTTACTATATTGAGTCTTTTAATCTAGGAACAGAGTAGGTTTCTACATTTATTTAGATCTTTGATTTTTTTTATCAGCATTTTGTAGTTTTCAGCATACAAGTCCTGTGTACACGTTTTTTAGATATATGTAAAACCTAACTATTTCATTTATTTGAGTGGTTGTAAGTGGTATTCTGTTTTAAATTTTGGTGTTCTGGTGATCTTCGTTAGTATATAGAAGTACAATAGATTTTTGTATGTTTATCTGGTGTCCTGCAACCTTGTTGAACTCCGTTTAAACTAGAGTCATTTTTGTAGGTCCCTTGGGATGGTATGTAGACCATCACGTCAGATGCAAATAGGGACCGTTTTATTTCTTTACAGTATACACTGAGTGGCCAGATTATTATGACTGGCCAGATTATTATGACCACTCCATCAGTACTTCATTGACACTTCCAAAAATACTGAATATTGAAAACTTCCTAAGCAAATACTCTCAAGGTTTTATTATTCTTATTATTTGCATAACTAATTCACTTCATTGTACTGATGGGGTGGTCATAATAATCTGGCCACTCAGTGTATACATGTCAATGGATATGCAACTATAACGTGCAACTATAAACATTGTCCAACAGGTAGAAGATGACACTGCGCCTCCAACTTTGAAAAGAGGGTGGTTTCACGAAGGGCAGAGACTAGCTATTTCTATTGCCAACTGCTGTTGGTCGTGATGCTGCCTTTGGGACTTAAACCCGACCAAACCTTTGCTCTGAAGAGTCATTTCATTTCCTGCCTGTTTTCTGAATGAAAGGAGGGTACTTGCAGGTGCTAAGAAGTTCGGCAGAAAACAGAGGAACTTACTGCACAGGTCCAACAAGTTGCCTGCCAGTCGTACCTTTCCTTGCCCAGGACTACTTAGGGGCGGGCCAGCCCAGGGCGGGCAGCGACAGCGTTTGATGGAGTGGTCTCGCCTCGCGGCCGCAGCTCCTCCCAGGCGCGCGGGGGCGCTGTGAGTCTCTGCGGGTCGTGGCGACGCTCTTTCTCCGCCTCCTTATTGGTTGGACGGAGGCTCTCGGGACGGCGGCGGGAAGATGGCGACCCTCCGGGACAGGCTGGGAGCCGGGGAGGCGGAGGGGAGCGCGAGCAGCCCGGGCAGCTCGGGAGTGGAGGTGGTGCTTTCCTCCGACCCCGCCACCCCCGCCCCGCGGTGCCCTCACGGTGGGTCCGCGTTTGGGCTCAGCCTGGCTGCCGGGCGCCCGGGGCGAGCGTTAGCCTGAGCTTCCAGGGGCGTGTAGGGCTCCCGGGTTTCCATCCACCTTTTTCCCGCGCCGTGTGTGATGCCTCGCAAACACCCCTTCCTCGGGAAGTGGTGGTTTTCAACTTACTTAAGAGGCCGTTATAACAAGTCCTACTGTTGTGGTTTTGGCTCCACGGCTGTTATCTATTTTAAGGAAATAGGCAGAGGCGAGGCAAAGGGGATGCGTGCTGTCGAGTAATTCCCATCACCAAGTACTTGGGGGGTTCATTTGTTGATTTACTACTTTTTCAGTAAAAAAAAAAAAAGTTAGAAGAGGGAACGATATCGAGTGAATTCTTGCGAAGAGGGGGTGTGTCCAGCTTCTCAAAGCCCAGATTTCCCAGGAAAAGGCCCCTGAGGGGCGGGAGGCCACGTGCTCGGTTCCTTGGACGCCCTCCTTGCTCTAGAGCAGTGGTTCTCAACCTTGTCTGCGCATTAGAATCACCTGGGAATCTTTTTAAAATCCTGATTTCTCGGCCTCCTGATTCCGGAAATTCTGTTTCTTTGTTACTAATGTTGTGGCCCCACCCCATAACAAAGAAACAGGATTTCCGGAGGATGAGGCCCAGAAATCAGGATTTTAAAAAGATTCCCAGGTGATTCTAATGTGCAGCCAAGGTTGAGAACCACTGATCTAGTGTCAGGGCCCAGGTCATACGCCACGTGGACAGCAGCTCCTCTGACAGTGGCATTTTATTCCTGGAGAGACGGGTTTTCAAAAACGGTTTCAAAAAAATGATTTCTTAAGTAAATTATTAAAGTAGTGGATTTAATGATGATAAATCCGTGCATAAAATGAAAACTGAAGGGCGGTGACAACCGGGAACTTGACACACGTGACTACTGTTTGACATGTTGTTGTTTTTTTCCTGTTCTGGAACTAGGTCCCACGCTGTTGTTTGTAAAGGTGAGCCAAGGGAAGGAAGACACGCGGAGGTTTTATGCCTGCTCGGCCTGTCGAGATAGAAAAGATTGTAATTTTTTTCAATGGGAGGATGAAAAGGTACATTAATTTTGTGGATGTCTATATTTTTAATTTTTGATGTATGTGACATCTTTGAGAATGAATGAGGTAAATCCTTAAAGAGTTGAAGATACCGTGTGGTTTGTAAGACAGGTTCATACTCTGAACTTACTTGGCTCACTGATGTCTGAAACAACTGTCTCAAAGAATTAGTTCCCATTAAGACCTTCTGAGGTGTTGGTATTGGGTTTGCAAATATAGATTTCTCCCCTAAAGAGTTTAGGTCACGATCATTCCAAACAGTGTTTTAGAAAAACACCCCTTTTCAACATTTGCACTGAACATCCTTTATCCATCTACTGGATGACAGATGAAGGCACTTGGAGAAATAGTTATGAGCTGGGTGTCCTCTTGGACTCAGCTCGGATTAAAGTTTCTGAAAGTGTTGAGTAGAATATTTTGAGCTTTGGTAGATTTCTTAGAAAACAGTCTTGTACATTACTCTTCTGCAGACCTGCTAAGATCACCACATGAGCGTTAATCACTGTGCTTTACTGCTTCACACTACTCTAGAATTTTTCCAGTTTAATGTTTTGGTGTGCTGTGGTCCCCCCCCACCCCCCCGCAAATGAATGCTTGTTTACAACTTTGAGCTCCTTGAATTTCTGGCTTCTTGATGTCAGAATGTGATCCCACTTTCTCCAGCATGGTAGCAAGTTTGATGGCACATTAAGTGGATTTTGTACTCTCAGTTGTCAGGTGCTAGACTTGCTGCCCGAGAAGCTCATAACCGAAGATGCCAGCCTCCTCTCTCCCGAATGCAGTGTGTGCAAAGGTACTGATGTGCTGTCGTTTTATTGTCCTGTTTGTTTGTTTTTTTACCTGTGCCTTTAAGTTTAATTAATTACTTCTATTGTGGTAAATATATATATGTAACATAAAATTTGCCAATTCAGTAGCGTTACGTACATTCATAATGTTGTGCAACCATCACCACTATTTCCAAAACCTTTTCATCACCCCAAATAGAAACTTTGTCACCATTAAGCAGTAACTCCATTCTACCTGCCCCCAATCTCTGGTCACCTCTAATCTATTTGTCTCCATGAATTTGACTATTCTAGGTTCCTCAAATGAATGCTATCATCAGTATTTGTCCTTTATGTCTGGCTTATTTCACCTAGCATAATATTGTTAAGGCTTATTCATGTTGTAGCATGTGTTAGAATTTCATCCTTTTTATAGCTGAACTAGTGGCCGGGTGCACAAATTCATGCACATTGAAAGGAAATTAATTAGAATAAATATTTTAATATCACTATTCGCCCTTTCTCTATAATAGAAGTGTCAAGTAAATGCACGGTTGACAATGACAGATTGAAACACATGCGTGCGATTGGCACCAGGGAGAGCTTTATATGTATCGCGCATGTGTGAGTCAACTTAGCCTTTTATACAGACGTCCTCAAATTGCGGCCCGCCAAAAACATTTATCCGGCCCGCTGGATGTTTTTGCCGCTGCTGCCTGTCCTGCTTAGCAGCCGACTCGTCCCGGGCCCGCAGTGCGCATGTGTCGAATGTCTGAGGGACAGTGAACTGGCCCCCTGTTTAAAAAGTTTGAGGACCTCTGCTTTTATATATATATATATATAATAAACTTGCTTAATTAGAACTACTTTCTGATTTAGCTAAACTTTTTCCAGCCCAGTGAAGCATCCCAACTTCTCTTTCAGTTAATTGTTAGCAACACAGCAGTAAATATTAACACGAAACAGATTATTATTGTAGATCATGCAGGGAGAACAAAAAATATTTAACTGCAGTGGTGTTTGACTATATTCTGCACAGTGAGAAAACCTGAAGTCATTTTCAAGGTCCACCATTTCTTCTTTTCAGTTGGGTCAAGTTTCCAAGCTTGCTAAATCTTCTCTAAGCTTTCTAAATCTCCATTTTCCAGCTAACGTAAAGAAAATAGGATTTTACCAAGTTTCCTATCTACCTACTCCAGGACTTCTGTGAGGATCAAATGAGATGAGGCACGGGAAAATGCTTCACAGACATTTGGTTAAAGTGTAAAATGTTTGCACCTGGCTATAAAGCAAGTTGTGTTCCTGGGCTGAAGAAACTGTAAGGAGGCTAGTCTCTAGGGAGAGGAAGCCAGGCTTGCTATATGACGTCATTACCCAGCGCCCACAGTGACCGTTTCTGGGCTGGGCTAGGCTGTGGGCTGCATTTTGTACCATGGGGTCTTGGCAGCACCGGCTGTGATTTGGTGGGCTGTTTCTGGGGTTGTGGCAGGGCCTGTGTCCCACTTGGGAGAAGCCGTGTGTTGCTTTGTGGGCGCCAGGTCTGTGGTGCTGTTTCTCTAAATGGCTAGTGCACATCAGGGCAGCTCCTGCATTGAGCATCTGCCCCCTGGTGGTCAGTTCAAGTCATAGTGACTGATCGGACAGACACAGCATATTAGCCTTTTATATATATAGTATTCTATTGTATGTATATACCACACTTTATTTATTCACCTATCAATGGACACTTGGGTGTTTCCGCGTTTTGGCTATTTTAAATAGTGCTTTGGTGCACAGTGGTGTATAAATATCTGTTTGAATCCCTGTTTTCAGGTCTTTGGCATATATACTTAGGAGTGGAACTACTGGATTGTAAGGTAATACTATGTTTAGTTTTTGGAGGAACTGCCAAACTGTTTTCCATTTGACACTCCCACCAGCAATATGTGAAGGTTTCAATTTCTCCACGTCCTTGTCAGCACTTATTTTCTGTTTTGTTTTGTCTTTTATTATAGCCATTCTAGCAAATGTGAAGTGGTGTGTCATTTTGGTGTTAATTTTTTGTTTTCCTATACTCCTAATGTGGGTCATCTTTTCATATGTTTTTTGGGGGCTATTTGCTTATCTTCCTTAGAAAAAATGTCTATTCAATTCTTTTGTCAATTTTTAAAATGGTTTTCTTCTGGTTGTTGAGTCACAGGAGTTCTTTATATGCTTATACATTCACTCTTATTAGGTGATATGTGAATATTTTTTTCCATTCTTTAGATTGTCTTTTTACTTTCTTGATGATGTCCTTTGACACACAAGAGTTTTTAACTTTGACAAAGTCCAACTCATCAAATTTTTCTTTTGTTGCTTGTGTTTTTGGTAGCAAAGCTAAGAATTCATTGCTAAATACAAAACCATGAAGATTTCCTGTAATGTTTCTGTTTTGAAATACTAAACGAACCATTTTTTTTTTTAAAGCTGTAAACACCTGTTTTTAAATATCTCCACTGTTAAAATGTTTTATTGGGTGAACTGGAATTGAGTCATAGATTTAATTCTTTGGCAAACGTGAGAAAAGAGTTTCTCCCTCTCCTTTGTGCTCTCTGTGCTGGAAGAAGCTCCTAAGAATTCCCTGTTCCGAGCTGCTGATGACAAGTAGGTTTTCACTCTAATGGCTACTCCTTCAGGTTATCTGGGCTGCTGTTTTGAAGGCTTCTGAGGTCTTATCCAGGCTAAATGGAAAGGATTACTGGGATCTATTAAAAATGTCTTCCTAAGCTTCTAAGTAGATTTCAAAGTCCTTTGATGGGAGAGGCTTTTTTAAAGATAAATGGATTGCCTCTTAACCAAAGTACTTAATCAGTGATGTCTACTTAATTTATAAGAATTCAATCAATAACAAAAAATGTTGAGAAGGGAAGTGATATAAATTGAGCACTACTGTGAGCTAGGCACTAAGCTAGGTGTTTTACATGAGATATTTTTTAATCCTGCTGAGTTAGTTTACTTAGTGAGTTAGTTTACTTAGATGAGAAATTGAGGTTTAGAGAAGTTAGTAACTTCAAGTTCATACTACTAGAATGGCTGTATTTTTATTTTATTATTTTTTGAATATGTTTCTTCATTGGTTTTTAGATAGAGAGGAAAAGAGAGAGATAGAAACATCGATGAGAGGAACATCATTGATCCACTACCTCCTGCACTCACCCCCACGGGAATCGAGCGCACAACCTGGGCAAGTGCCCTGACCTGGAATCAAACCGGCAACCTCCTGGTTCCTGGGTTGATGCTCAACCGTTGAGTTACACTGGCTGGGCTAGAACGGCTGTATTTTTAAATATAAAAGCAGATAGTAATTAATATGTGATGTGTAGTGTTTTAATTTAAGGAGATATGAGGAATAAAACGTGAGGAGTTAGAGATATATCATAATGAGATAAAATAGAATAAGATGCAGAAAGTAGGAAAACATCACCCATGGTTTCTCCCTCTGCACCCATCACCTTGGTCGATTGGTTACATTTCCTCCACGCCTTTTTTCCTCTGCCAGGGTTTGTTTTACAAGGTTGTAGTCATAATGTATACATAGTTTTATATTCTGCCTTATCACTTACTTTTATCTGATAAGCATGTTGCTCATGTTCTCCCATAAGGACATTGGTGAGTCAATTAAACTATAAGAAAATCTAGGTGTTCTTGTTTCCTTGCTTTGTTACTTGAGATTGTAATTGCTTTCTAATTTAACTTTATGCAACTCATTTATGTTATCTGATTAAGTAACGACTGTATTTGAAAGTAGTAAAATGCATTTAAACATTATACCTATTCTGTAAAGCAAACTTTTTATCTGTTATTGTAGAGTAACAGTAGCTTTCCATTGACTGATTTATTTTTGGAATTGCTAGCAAGCAGTGATGGTAGCTAGCAAGATAAATTGACCTTGTTACTTGATTTTGATTGCGGAACTGGAGGTGCTACACAGACTCCTAGGCTCTACAGAATAGGACTTGATATTCGTTTTCCTAATCTCACTCTGAGCCGTCCTTTGTATTTCATGTGCTCAGGTGACAGATTTACATTTTGTGCCTGAGATTTGACTTTCCTTATAGGTTTTAGCTGCCTCTTACGCGTTGAAATGTGCTATTCTATTATGTAGTACGTTGGCACCTTTATTGTGACCTGTGAAGTCTCAGGGAAGATATATTTTAATGCTAGAATCAGTATTAATTTATGTGCATTCAGATCGTTTTATTTAGTTGATATTTTATTTGGTTATGTTTTTTTCAAAGCTCATTTAAACTCAGATTTTCAAGGTCTGCTATTAGGGAAATGCCATAAACATTATTTGTCTACTCCAGGAAAGGCAAATGGAACATCACATGGAGATCAATAAAAATGACATTTCAAAATGTTAGCCTGCAATTTTTGAATCATGCTGAGCCTGTGGCAGAATGAATTTCTTTTCCTCCTGGGGTATGTGTAGTAAGTATAAATAAGGAAAGAGTGCTGAGTGATGCTTAACTCTTCATGGTTTCATGTTCTTGCTACCAAGCTGTTAAAAAACCTTGTGTCTGACTGATGGTTGCCAGAGGGGAGGGGAGTTGGTCCATTGGGTGAAAAAGATGAAGGGATTAAGAAGTACAGATTGGGCACTGGCTGGCTTGGCTCAGTGCTGAAGGATCGTGGGTTCGATTCCCGGTCAAGGGCATGTACCTGGAAAAAACAAAGTACAGTCAAACCTCAATCCTCTGCACAGTAGCAGCGTTCCTGGAAAATTCCAAAGAGGCTTGGTGTTTACACAAAAGTGAAATGAGGCCTCGACCTGCACCATCCAGTTCAGTGGCCAGAAGCCACTGGCCATTTGCAGTGTGGCTACTCTGGATGTTGTAGACTGGACTAACAATTAACAAAATATAAGTAATCGCATTAATAATGTTTATATTGATTATATGTTGAAATAATATTTTGGGTATACCGGGTTAAATAAAACACATTACCCGAAGGAAAATAAAATGGGGGGCATGTACCTGGGTTGCAGGTTCAATCCCTGGCTATGTCAGTTGTAATTCATCATCATGTTATCTCTGTGTTTTTTAAAAATATATTTTTATTGATTTCAGAGAGGAAGGAAGAGGGAGAGAAAGATAGAAACATCAATGATGAGAGAGAATCATTGATCGGCTGCCTCCTGCATGGCCCCTATTAGGGATCAAGCTCGCAATCTGGGCATATGCCCTGACCAGGAATTGAACTTGTGACCACTTGGTTCATGGGTTGATGCTCAACCACTGAGCCACACCGACTAGGCCAGTTTTTATTTTTTAAGTAAATGTCTTTTATTAATAATAAATATTTTAAATCAAATTTTATATGTGGCTATTATGTGATTCCATATATATGAGAAGTACAGAATGGACAGGTCTATAAAGATAGTACATTAGTGGTTTTAGAGGCCAGGGGTAGCGGGAATTGTGGAGTGACTACTGATAGGTACGGACGGGATTTCTTTTTGAGGTGATAAAAAAATGTTCTGGAATTATATTGTGATGGTTGCACAACTTCATGAATGTTCTAAACATCACTGAATTGTACACTTTAAAAGGGTGATTGTGTGGTTTGTGAATTTAATTTCAATAAAGAAATCAGTGACAATAGAATCAAGTAGTTCTGTGAGGTTGTACAAAGAGCAATACGTTTGTCTCCACCCATGCATTTCCCCCACCTCAGAAGCAGCTAGTCAGCTCTTCTGGCTAATTCTTCTAGAAGGCACATTCCTGTCTGTAGAGTACAAAGCATGCTTGCCTTGTACTTCTTGATTTATCAGTGTTTGGAATTATCTGTTTATTTCATGTGGAAGATGAGGATTTATCTTTCCCTCCTCTCTCTGCCCTCTCCCCTCCAACCCCGCCCTCTTGCCCCCCACTATAATGTATATCTTTTCACACCTTAGTCTTACATGGTTATACCATGAATTTGGTTAGATTCAAAATTTAGTATTTATATTATTATAACCATATAAATGCTGCTCATAGCTAAACCATGAAATCATAATAAGTTCTTTTCCACACAGCTTTTTGTTTTCTTGGAGTTCATACAGTCTTGGGTTTTTTGTTGTAGCTGCTGTTAGTTATTTATGTGCTCATCGCTGATTCAGCTGCAGACTCTCTGCGGGTTGTCTGAACCTTTCAGAACATTCACATGTAGCACAATCATTGGTTTCATCTTAGAGAAACCTGTTCGAGGGCTTGCACAAATGCTCTCGTCTGGAAGTTGCCCTTTCTACCTGCCACTCAGCTGTCTAGCAGGCTTTTCGGTAGGGACCCAGGTTATGTACTATATAACTTGAATTCTTCCAAGTCCAGAATCAAACATTCATTCATAAAGATTCTCAGAAAACTAGGAATAGATGGAAATTTCCATACCTGATAAAGGGCGTCTAAGAAAAACCTATAACTAATACCATACTGACAAAAGATTGAATGCATTCCTCCTAAGACTGGGACATAGCAAGGATGTCAACTTTTACCATTTCTATTTAACATTGATGGGGGATTCTAGACAATTTAATAAGTCTAGATTCAGGAATAGAATTTGAAAATACGAAAATCACAGGAGAGAAAAAGACCACATATGACATTTATTACAGTATATTATAATTGCTCTATTTTATTATAGTTGTTGTTAATCTCTTACTCTGTCTAATTTGGAAATTAAACTTTATCATACGTATATATATTTAGGAAAAAAACATAGTATATATAGGGTTTGATGCATCCACTGGGATGGTCTTGGAACACATCCCCCATGGAGGATGGGAGACTACTGCAAGCTGGGCAGTTGTACCACTTACTCATTTGTTTCCTTCTGTTATTCACTGGGCTGCCAGTTGTCCAATATATTGAAACTGTGGTTTCATGTATTTTGTCTGTTTAAAACATTTTTTGAAGGTCAGAATAGTAAATCCGGTTTCTGTTACTGTATCATGGCTCGATGTGGGCGACTTTGACACAACATTTAATAATGAAAGGTAACAGTGAATTCACTGCTTCCGTGGCTGCAATGTACTGGTCTTTCCACTTGCACTTCATGTCTTAGGGGCCCTGTTCTCTACTGACGTTCTTTGAATTACTATAAAAGTTTCTTCTAATATGGTTGTCCTTTTTCTTTCTAGTCATGGATAAAGCTGTCACAGGAACAGTTATCATAGAAATAGAAACATTTAAATTACTGGCATGATAAGCTTATTTCTTGCTGTAGCCATTCAGAATATGTATTTGTCACTGCCTTGGGTGCTTTGAAGTGAAACTGCTTAGAAATAAAAAGTTTTAAACCCACTTTGATTTTAAATTACGTTCAGTTTTTCCAGTGCAGTTCCAGAGTTTAGTTCAATTGAAACCGTATGACTCCTCTCAAACTAGAAGAATCCTTTAGTGCACTATTTGACATGCTTAGATTTGGACATTTCTGACTTCTATGAGCCTCGATAAGCTTATTTATTTTTCTTTTGTTTTCTTACTCTGATTTCATAGCTGCTGTAGCATATACATAGTCAGCAGTTTTTTCTCTCTCTTTATTCATCCCAAATCAAAAGAAAAGAAAAAAAGACCAGGGTGGTGACTTTGAAATCAGATATAAGAATGGCTTAAAAGATTGGATTCTATCTTTCAAATGGGATTCTAATATATATTTTTTAAAGCTTCAAATATCAGCTTGCTGTTTTGGGGATGAGTTTCTCAGAACTGCCTCCATCAGTATTGCTAAGAACAGAGGAACTTTGTAGGAACATTTTTTCTTTAAGGAGGCAATTCTTCTTGCTAAATATGCCATAAGAGCTTGAAGAATGATCTTAATTTCTCATTTTAAAATGACTGTCATACTGAGCCAGACTATTTAACATTTCAAAGTTAGAGCACATGGATTTGTCAATAAATTTAAACGTGATAGTAGTCTCCATTACTACTAAGTTGTTTGAGTAGTATATTATGTTCACATTTTAAATGGATATTGATCTTCATTCAGTGACCGAATTGGAGCATCTCAATTCTTATGAAATTGCTGATTCTCTTCCACTTTGTAGGCATGCAGCTGCAGCCAGACATAAATTCTAGCCAACATTCCACAGATTTTTCTTACCTTTGCTTCTTTATGCAGTAGTCTTTAGGAAATAATACTTTTGCATACTAAAAATAGCAAAAATAAATTGTCTTTAAAACAACAAACTTACAATACATTCCTTGTGTTGTGTTGTGTCTTGAAGGTATTTGAAGTTCATTGAGTTGCCGTTGTCTCAGAGAAAGTTTTGTCAAAGATGTCAGCAGTTGCTGCTGCCAGATGACTGGGAGAAGCATCGTGAGCACCAGGTCATGGGGGATATTTCTGTCACCCAGTTAAAAAGGCCCAGTCAGCTCCTTTCTCCGTTGGAAAACAAGAAGACAAACGCGCAGTATTTGTTTGCTGATAGGAGCTGTCAGTTCTTGATAGACCTACTTTCTACCCTTGGGTTCAGAAGAGTGCTGTGTGTTGGAACACCAAGGTAGGTTATGTGGTTTTTAAAAAACTTCCTGGCACCATTATTTAAACTGTAAGAAAAGAATTCTCAAGTTCCAGGATAGAGCATAAAGTTTTGAATATACAAAGAAGTATATAGCATGGTCCCTCTAAAGGAGTTTGTAATCTGTAATCCACTTGGGGAAATCTTTATAGATTTCTGATATATGATAGGAGATTCTTTCTGATTTGGTTCTTAAATTCTGTTTATAATTTTAGACTTTTATGTTTCAGAGAAGTTCTGCCTTTTAAAATATATTTGTAAAACTGAAACTTTGATTACATCTGCCACATTCTCTTCAGTGAACTATCAGAAATATCAGGAGAATATTGATTTTTTTTGTTTATTTGTTTATTTTCTATGGCCTTTGTAACTTCATATTAAATTTGCTTTCACTAATTGTTTTAGGTTGCATGAGCTGATCAGGTTGAAAGCATCAGGTGACAAGAAGCCTAACATTAAAAGCCTTTTATTGGATATTGATTTTCGGTAGGTTTACAAAGTATAATATTTATTCTCATTCATTGTCTCCTGCTTTTAATTGTTTTTCCTCTTTTTAAAAATTGTTTATTACCTGTTCTAATTCTAGTTAACATTTAGAAGTAGTAATTGGTGATAAGGCACTTTTTCAGTCATATAAACTCCATATGTAATCTTCCATATTTCAAACAGAGGCTGTGAATTTCTTTTTTTTTTTTCTTTTCCCCACTTTCCCCTCTCCTGCCTCCCCCCACTTCCTTTTCCTTCTGGTAAAGGAATTTCTTTTTGCTAGTGTGCTTCCTAAATTCTGTTCATGAATGTGCCTCGTTGTCTTTGGCTTATAATTTAGTGATAAATTCCTACTGAGTGAAATTTCTTCTCATATTCTTGTTTTCAAAGATAATTCTGAGCTTCCTCCAGGACTTTGTTTCATCATGCTGTTTTAAGTGTGATAAGGCATTTATTTAATATTTTTACCAGATGATGTGCATGCCTAAATGAAGGGCATGCTACCTGGGGAATAGCCAGACTCCAAGGCCAAGGATTAGCAAACAGAGAGCTTCAGAGTCAAATGGTTGCTGATAGGTTGGAGCAAATGGATTTGAGACTGGGGATTGTGCCCGCAACCCAAGCATGTGCCTGACTAGGAATCTACTGGGGACCTCTTGGTTCATGGGTTGATGCTCAATCACTGAGCCACACTGGCCGGGCTCCAGTTAAAATTTTTAAAACATAGAATCATAACTTAAAGTCTTTTTTCCTCCACTTGCTGTATTTTAGGCATATTTTTAAAAATTGAGATATATTTCACATACATTTTTAGTATTATTCACAAGGTTGTACAATCATCACCATTGTTTAATTCCAGAATATTTCCATCACTTTTGAAACAAACACTTTCCTATAAGCAGTCTCTCTTCATTTCCCCGTTCCCTAACCATTGGCCATCACTAGTCTACTTTCTGTCTCTTCCTGAGATTTCATATACATGGAATCATAAAATATGTGACCTCTAGTGTGTGGCTTCTTTCACTTAGCATAATGTTTTCAAGGTTCATCCATGTTGTAGCATGATCAGTACTTCATTCCTCTTTATGGCTGAATAATACTGTATTATATAGACATACCAAATTTTGTTTATCCATTCATCAGCTGATGGACATTTGGGTTGCTTTCACTTTTCAGTCATTATGAATAATGAAGACAAACGCGCAGTATTTGTCCACTATATGGAGTGAGGTAGGGATCCAATAATGCTGCTATGAACACTTGTGGACATTTTCTTATATGAATATATCTTCAAATTTCTTGGTTATTGTATTAATTTACTAGGGCTGCCATTACAGAATACAGTAGATTGGGTGGTTTAAACAACAGAAACTTATTTTCTCATAGTTTTAGAGGCTGGAAGTCCAAGATCAAGTGTCAGTGGGTTTGGTTTCTTCTGAGGCCTCTCTTCTTATTCTTGCAGGTGGCCGCCTTCTCACTGTCCTCACAATCGTCTTTCCTCTGTGTGTGTGTATTTCTTCTTCTAGTAAGGACACCAGTCATATTCATTGGGGCCCACCCTAAGGACCTCATTTTAACTTAATCATTTCTTTAAAGGGCCTGCCTCCAAATATAGTTGTAAATTGAAGTACTGGGGGTTAGGGCTTTAACATAGGTATTTGGGGGGACACAGTTGAGGCCATATCTACCTAGGAGTAGAATTGCTAGGTCATATGATAGCTCTGTATTTAACTTATTGAGGAACTGCCAAACTGCCAAAACACAGGTAACTACATTTTGTTGATGGTTAGTGATGTTGAGCATCTTTTCATGTGCTTATGGACTAGTTGTTTATCTATTTGGAGAAATGTCTATTTAATCCTTTGCCTATTTTTTTTAAAATATATTTTTATTGATTTCAGAGAGGAAGGAAGAGGGAGAGAGAGATAGAAACATCCATGATGAGTGAGAATCATGGATCGGCTGCCTCCTGCAAGTCCCCCACTGGGGCCTGAGCCCAAAACCCGGGCATGTGCCCTTGACTGGAATCGAACCTGGGACCTTTCAGTTCGCAGGCTGAGGCTCTATCCACTGAGCCAAACCGGCTAGGGCCCTTTGCTCATTTTTGTTTTTATTTTTTATTTTTATTTATTTATTTATTTTTAAAATATATTTTATTGATTTTTTACAGAGAGGAAGGGAGAGGGATAGAGAGTTAGAAACATCGATGAGAGAGAAACATTGATCAGCTGCCTCCTGCACACTCCCTGCTAGGGATGTGCCCGCAACCCAGGTACATGCCCTTGACCGGAATCAAACCTGGGACCCTTGAGTCCATAGGCCGATGCTCCATCCACTGAGCCAAACCAGTTAGGGCCCTTTGCTCATTTTTAATTGGTTGTCTTTTTATTGTTGAATTGAAAAAGTTCTTAATATATTCTGGATACTAGACTCTTATCAGATATATGATTTGCAAATAATTTTTCCTATTCTGTGGGTTGTCTTTTTACTTTTTATTTTATTGATTAAAGTATTACATATGTGTCCTTATCCTCCCATTGCCTACCCTCCACCCTGTCTTTTTACTTTTGATGAAGTCCAGTTATTATCTTTTTTCTTTGATTGCTTGTGTTTTAGATATCATATCTAAGACACTATTGACTAATACAAGGTCATGAATATTTACACCTGTTTTCTTCTTAGAGCTTTTTATTTTAGTTCTTATATTTAGATTTATTTTGAATTAAATCTTCTATATGGAGTGAGGTAGGGATCCAACTTCATTCTTTTTACATAGTTGCCTTGGCACCATTTTTTGAAATGATTATTCTTCTCCCCTTGAATTATCTTGGTACCTTATTGAAAACCAAATGACCATAAATACATGGGTTTATTTTTGGACTCTAAATTCTGGTCCATTAATCTGTGTCTGTCTTATGCTAGTCCTACACAATCTTGATTATTGTTGTTTTGTAGTAAGTTTTGAAATTAGGAAGTGTGAGTCTTCCAACTTTATTCTGTTGCAAGATTGTTTTTTGCTATTTTGGGTTTCTTTGCATTTTATATGAATTTTAGGATCAGCTTGTAAATTTCTACAAAAAAAATCAGCTGTGATTTTTTTTTATAGAGATTGCATTAAATTTGTAGATCAATTTGGGGAGTATTACCATCTTAATCGTCTTCTAGTTCATAAACACAAGAGTCTTTCCATTTATTTAGGTCTTCTTTAAATAATATTTTTTAGTTTTCAGCATATAAGTCTTGCACTTCCTCTGTTAAAGTTACTCCTAAATATTTTGTTCTTTTTGTTGCTATTGAAAATTGTTTTCTTAATTTCATTTTGTATTATTCATTGCTATTGCCCTGATTTACTTTAAAAACAAACAAACTGTGGCCCTAGCCGGTTTGGCCAGTGGATAGAGTGTTGGGCTGCGGACCAAAGGGTCCTGGGTTTGATTCTGGTCAAGGGCATGTACCTAGGTTGCAGGCTCCTCCCCAGACTGGGCCCTGGTCCAGGAGCATGCAGGAAGCAACCAATCTGTGTGTTTCTCTCACATCAATGTTTCTCTCTGTTTCTCCCTCTCTCTAAAAATCAATGGAAAAATATCCTCGGCTGAGTATTAAAAAAAAAAAAAAAGATAAAATATTGTGACAGAATACACATAGCATAAAATTTGTCATATTAACCATTTTAAATATACAATTCAGTAGTGTTAAGTAAGTGAGGTACATTTACATCATTGTGCAACCATTCTCCAGAACTCTTTCACCTTACTTGGATTTACTTTTAATTTGAAAGATTTAAATGGCCCCTTAACTCTTTTGCCTTAAATGCCATATCTTATGGTTTTACCTTTCTTGAGCGTGAAGTTGAAATCTCTTGGTTAGAGTAGGCAAAGGGGATGTGGATAAAGTTATTTTATAACTAATGGAATACACTAATACTTTTTTTCATGTCTGTAAACCTCTGTTGTGCTAAGGTTATCCTAGCTTAGTTTCTTTGATCCTGTACTGTGTTACTGAGTCAATTCTACAAAAGGTCAACATTGGGTGTTAAGAGAGAGCTGGTCTATTGAAACACAGGAGTAGCCAGAACGAATTCAGTCTGTTGCCTGTATTTACAGTATGGAGTGTGTGGGTTGGTTCGGGTTTCTCAGAGTTAAGTCAGGAAAAACTCCCTGTGGGTATGGAGTGGCAGTTGGCACTTTGACTTTGGTTTGTTGTTGCCCTACAGAAGGTCTGTCCAAGGCTGCAGAGAGCTGCCTCAACTCCAGCCTTCTATGTAGATGTGCTTGTAAATATCCTTTTCAGGGGTCCAAGATATGAAATTAACATTTGCTAAGATGGATTTCTATATGCTCTAATTTTAGCATGAAAGATGTGAAACTCTATTTGGCAAACTATCATCCAAATAAAGTTATATAAAAAAATGGATTTCTTGGGTTCATTTCATGAACTGATTTTATTCAGCTCTTGATTACATTTCCTGTGTGTAGAGTATGTTTCACACTTGGTAACTGACTCATTTAAAGAGAATGAATGGCCAAATTAAATGAATTTCCTTTTGAGCAGTTTTCAAGTGCATGCTTTCTGATTGGTTTTGTTTGCTTTATTCAGTGGAGAGAATAATTCTTTGTGGCCAATTTCATTTTAAGAGGGTAATGTTGAGTGATTTTTCATAATTTAAAATATGAATAATTATGCTCCCTTGTTTGTATTCGATGAAACTTAGAGCTGAAATCTAGGCTTTTTTCTCTCTCTGGCCCTGCTTACTGCTGCCCAGGAAGTTTTGGACAACTGTGCTGTGTTGAATTTTATGTAAATAAGTTTTTCTCTTTTAATGAAAAAAAAAAAAGACTATTGTGTCATTGTGAAGCAATAAAAAAATGGAGAGTCAGTAGAAATATATATTTAAACGGATTGTATTTTTTTTGCTTACACAAAGCAATGCAAGAGAGAAGAAAACTCTCAAAAGATAGTTGACTCACAGCTCTACTAGTATTGACAGATATATATTAATTAAATAACAGATAATATATATTGTTAGCTATTTGGAATTTAGTTAAATAGGAAGTCATTTCTTTACTAGTGGTAATTGACATCGCCCCACAGTGTTTGGAATGTTCATTAAGTTACAGTATATAATTTAAATATTTTTCAGTTACCCTAACCTTTTGTTTATTTCTTCGATTCAGATATACTAACAGTATCGTAAATAATTTTAAGGGATAACATAATGAGAATGGTGAACAGTTGTTCTCCATCTCCACAGAACAAGAAGAAATGGATTAGATTACAGGAAGGGAGATTTTGGTTGGACATAAACATAATTTCCTAACATTAGGGACATTAAAGCATATTAGCTGGTGTTTATTAAAATAATGAGACCTAACATTTCAGTATATGCTATTTAGCTGGCACTGTGTTAAGCACTTTACATACATTATCTCATTTATTCTTACCAAGGCCTATGATGTGGAAACTACTATGTTTCTCATTTTGTAGACGAAGAAATTGGGGCTCTGATAGGTGAAATACTTATTAAGGTTACACTGCTAATAGGATTTGAAACCAGGTCATCTGACCAAAGAGTCTGCTTTTAACCACAGCATACGAAGAAGAGGCTAAGCAGGGTTACCCATTATAATACCATGGATGGTGAACAGTAATGGGTAACTGAGAATAGAGTAGACAAAGTTGTTCTGCTGTCGTGATCTGGCTAAAGAAGTCATAGAAGTAAGGATGTGTCCCTGATGTTTTTCAGTCTTTCCACTGTGCATTCCATAGAAGGATAATGTGATTCATATGTGAATTGTTTATAACAAAATTGTCAAAGTTCAAGATCCTATTGAGATAAAAATGAGGTTTCTATAGTATATGAAAAACTCAGAAATCAGCATGAAAGACATTAAGAACCATAAACATAAACGGAGAAAACAGAGACAGACAGTACAAATACACTTAAGGAATGAGGAAATCTCAGTCTTATAAGAAACCAAATAAATGCAAATTTAAACCATTATGTTAGTATGGATTTTGCTTACTAAGTTAGTAAAAATTTATAAAGTTAATACCCAAAGTTGGTACTGTCATTCATTGCTGATAGGCATTTTAAAGTAGTGTGTTACTACACCTGAAACTAATATAATATTGTATGTCAACTGTAATTGCAAAAAATTTTTTAATTAAAAAAATAAATTTTAAATAAAGTAGTGTTAGAAGAATAAAGTGATTCAACCAATAAATAAATATCCTTCTTTCCCAGCACTAATTCAGTAAATATGAAATGCACATACTTCTTTTTGTAATACAGTGGGGCCTTGACTTACGAGTTTAATTCGTTCCATGACGGAGCTCGTAACTCAAATTACTCGTATGTCAAATCAAAAGTGAACGAGTGAGACACGTGATGCTGGGCTGATGTTGTGGCGTTCACTGTGACGTTTGCTGTGCCAACTAGCAGTGGGATATCTGAAGCTGGCTCGTAACCCGAATTTTAGCTTGCAACTCAAAGCAAAAAATCGGCTGAGAGACGGCTTGTATCTCAAAAAACTCGTTAGTCGGGACACTCGTAAGTCAAGGCCCCACTGTATATTGAAAAGCATCCTATTTAACACTTGGAGTGCGGGAAACGAGTTAAGTCGGCTCGTGTGAATTGCGCGTACTCCGCGGGAGCCGTCTTTAACTCGGTTCATATAGATTTGCGGTGGAGTGCGGGAAACGTGTAAACTCGGGCTGATTGTAACTGCGTATTACCAAATATTTGTTTGTAATCCACCCTTTTGGTGGATGGAACAAAACCAAAAGACAGAGCCATCTTATATTTTGGCAGGAAATTCACCCGCACTCCAAGTGATAATAAAAGGCTAATATGCAAATCTACCTAACAGCCAAACAACCGGTCACTATGATGTGCACTGACCACTAGGGGGCAGGCGCTCAATGCAGGAGCTGCCCCCTGGTGGTCAGTGCACTCCCACAAAGGGAACGCAGCTCAGCCAGAAGCCCTGAGCCAGACTTATGGCTGGCGAGCGCAGCAGCGGTGGCCAGAGCCTTCCGCCCCCTCAGCAGTTGGACATCCCCCATGGCCCTTGGACTGCAAGAGGGCACAGGCCAGGCTGAGGGACCCGTCCCTGAATTTTGTGCACTGGGCCTCTAGTATTTTATAAAGCTAATCTGCAATAGACAAGAAAAACTTTGCATTAAATATTTTTTGTGTGAATCACAAGAAAATACAGTAATTAACAGCTGTTGAGCAGAAAGGTTAATTCAGTATTTTCCTTAAAGTTATTAACTATAAGTGTTCCATAGTTTTATCACTGATACATTAAACTTGGGAACATAATTTAAGTTTTTTATTCATCATCCACTGTTACCAACTAAGATTTGGGGAAAGCTTTTTATTTTTTTCTTAAACACAAATTTTGCCCTAGCTGGTTTGGCTCAGTGGATAGAGTTGGCCTGCGGACTGAAGAGTACTGGGTTCGATTCCGTTCAAGAACACATGCCGGATTGCTATCTCAATCCCCATGCAGAAGGCAGCCAATCAATAATTCTCTCTCATCATTGATGTTTCTCTCTCTCTCCCTCTCCTTTCCTCTCTGAAATAGAAAGATATATATATATTTAAAAACAAACAAAAAACCCACTAATATTTTTATTTTTTATTTTATTTTATTTTTTTTAATATGTTTTATTGATTTTTTACAGAGAGGAAGGGAGATGGATAGAGAGTTAGAAACATCGATGAGAGAGAAACATCGATCAGCTGCCTCCTGCACACCCCCTACTGGGGATGTGCCCGCAACCAAGGTACATGCCCTTGACCGGAATCGAACCCGGGACCCTTCAGTCCGCAGGCCAACGCTTTATCCACTGAGCCAAACCGGTCAGGGCCCCACTAAATTTTTTAAAAAAAATTTTGTTTTTTTAATTTTTAGTCCTCACCTGAGAATATTTTCTCATTGATTTTTAGAGAGAGGGGGAGAGGGAAAGACAGAAATATCATTGTGAGAGAAACACATAGATTGGTTGCCTCCTGCATGAGCCAGGACTGGGGCTGGGCCAGGGAGGATCCTGCAACCAAGGTATGTGCCCTTGACCAGAATTGAACCTGGGACCCTTCGGTCCGCAGGCCAATGCTCTATCCACTGAGCCAAACCCAGTAGGGCTGGGAAAGCATTCCTTATTTCAGAAGATGAAGCATGATGAAATTGACTTTATTAAAGGTGTGATTTCACAGTTTTAAAATGTAGTTTATATTTATTTATTGTATAACTATGACTGGACAAGTAACTCCAGTAATAAGCAAATTATTTTACAGGTATTCGCAGTTTTATATGGAAGATAGCTTTTGCCATTATAACATGTTTAACCATCACTTCTTTGATGGAGAGGTAAGAATTGTTAACATTATCTCTTTCTTCTCTTGTGAAGAATAAATTCAAGAGTATCTCCTTTGTTATTTTTCTAAAGTCCCTTAAGATCAAATTGTGGCTGTTCCACCATTTACTCATAGAGATATTTTATTCATTAACTGAGAAGATACTGAGCATCTAGAAGTGATTACATTATTTCTCTTTCATGACTTTTCACTACTTTTTGGGTAAAGATCCACTTTCTTACCAAGGCCCACATGGTTTTGTGTGGTCTGAGCCCTGCCACTCTTCAGCCCCTCCTCTCCCTGCTCCTGCTTTGCTCTTTGTGTTCATCTCAAACTCTCATCTGGAACTGGCCTTCCCACCACAGGGCCTTTTGCCCTGCCATGCCCTCTGCCTTCTCCTCTCTATTTGCCTCGTTAACTTTACCTCATTCTTCAGAGCTCTGTTCCAAGTCATTTTCTCCAGCCTCCCCTGAGCCCCAGACAAGGTCAAGGTCTCCTTTGTGGAGTTAGGATACTATAATTAAATCAGAGACCCAATGCATGAAATTCGTGAAAGTGCCTTGACCCCGCTGCCGCCTGGGCCGGGGGCCTCTGCTGCCTCTGCCTGGGCCCCCGCCCACTGTAGCTTTGTCCGGAAGGAAGGATGTCCAGAAGGATGCCTGGTCTAATTAGCATATTACTATTTTATTATTATAGATAGTTGTGTGGTTAGTTGTTTGGTATCTGTCTCCCTGGTAAATTTCATGTTCCAGTTAAGGGGATTTATGGTTTTATTAGATCACTCCTTAAAAACTAGTGTCTAATAAAGATGTGTCAACATAGGTTCATTAATTCTAATAAATGTACCCCTCTGGTGGGCAATGTTAATGGGGAGGCTGTGTACGTGTAGGACCAGGGCCATGTGGGATATCTCTGTATCTTCTTCTCAATTTTGCTGTGAACCTAAAACTACTCTAAAAAAATAGTCTTAATAAAAAGATAGTGGCTTAAAGGAAGCTTCTTTATATGATGTTAATAACGTCACTGTGAATAAACAACACAGCAGAGCTGATACTTCCACTCCTAGTTTGAGCTCTTTGTCAGTCTTATTACAAAATAAAAATCACAGCCAACCAGTAGTCACACCTCCCAGGAGGTTTTGATTGGAATTATCAAGATCTCCTGAAGCATATCTGTGTGTGTGTGTGTGTGTGTGTGACTTTTTAAAGATAGTGAACCATGCTAAAGTATTTATTGTGCTTTAAGATAATAGCTAATGATAGAATGAAAACCAAGCAAGACTAAAAAAACAAGCATTTAGAAAATGAAAACAGATTCTGAATTGTTGGTTGGGATTGAAAATGAGTCTCCTGATTTAGTAAGGATAGCCAGTGACGCACGCCTTCTTTCAGAATCGGGGGCATTGGGGATATCTATTTTTCAGCTATTTATCTCTCTCTCCCTCTCTCTTCCTCTCTGAAATCAATAAAAATATACATTTTTTGAAATATTTTATTTTTTAGATATATTTTTATTGATTTTAGAGAGGGAGGGAGAGAGAGAGAGAGAGAGAGAGAGAGAGAGATAGAAACATCAATGATGAGAGACAATCATTGATCAGCTGCCTCCTGCATGTTCCTTACTGGGGATTGATCCCACAACCGGGGCATGTGCCCTTGACTGGAATTGAACCCGGGACCCTTCAGTGTCCAGGCTGACGCTCTATCCACTGAGCCAGACCAGCTAGGGTAATAAAAATATGAAGTGCCAGTTTTTAGTGATAATTGAGATGAAGAAAAAAGGATACTGTCAACATTGGTGGTATAAGCCAGCATCTGTTTCCATAGGTGTCAATTTTAGGACCCTCAGCAACTCTTGACAGGACATTATAGCCTAGATTCTTACCTGGAAGTTTATGCTTAATGTTTTTATTTTTATTTTTATTTTTTTATTTTTTTAAGATTTTTTTATACTTTATTGATATTTTACAGAGAAGAAGGGAGAGGGACAGAGAGTTAGAAACATCAATGAGAGAGAAACATCGATCAGCTGCCTCCTGCACACCCCCTACTGGGGATGTGCCCGCAACCAGAGTACATGTTCTTGACCGGAATCGAACCTGGGACCCTTCAGTCCACAGGCCGACGCTCTATCCACTGAGCCAAACCGGTCAGGGCAATGCTTAATGTTTTTAAAATTTGGTTAAGAGTTTAGGCCTAGTTTACTTGTTTATTTTCTTTTTTTTCTGCTTTTAACTAAGGAATTTGAAGATTTTCCAATAACATCATCTGTACTTTAGGTCCTGTTCATGTTGGCAGGTTAAGAAAGTACCAGACAGCGTTTGAAAAATGATTAACCTTCTTGACATACTGTCCTTTGCTGTAGGACTGCCAGTAGGAGGTTAATAGTGACTCTCCTAGGGAAAGGGATTAGGATACGGTGCTTTTTCCTCTCATCAGTTGGGATTTAGTAGTAGGACGGTATATATTTTAAAGTACATATAGGTTTATTAAAGTTTAACATACCACTAAACTTTAAAATCATATGCCACTCAGGATATTGTTAAGTGTTGATTTGCTTTTATAGATGAGTACATACTTGAAAACTATTACAAAGTCAGATGACTGGAGTTATTATAGATGTATCTCTCATTAACATCTCCCAAAACAACAACAACAACAACAACAACAACAACAAAAGATACATATTTTAGGCAGTAGTTATGTTAAGTTTGCAATTACTAAAAACACTTGAATCAGTTTGTTGGGAAAATGTGTTACTAGCATGGTCTCATGGCCTGGATACGAGTTGTTATTTGTGACCCTTCGTTTATTTACTTACCGTGCATGTTCTCAAAACCCTGTGTGTTTAACTGGTAATTGTAGCTCTTATTAAACTGAACACATGGTGGTGGACAGACCAGATAGGAAAGAAATGTGCCTTGTCTTTGTGTTCCCAGTGTTTGGCACAGTCCCTGCTTCTGTTTATTGAATTGAATTTAGAGTTTTAGATAGTTTTTCATGGGTAATGAGTTTCTCTCTTTTAGGTTACTAAATTTAGGTTTTTAATTTAACCATTTGAAATGTGTAGTCCTCTGATAGTGATGGTATTTGAATTTGCAATTTTAAAAACTTCCTTATCAAGAAACCCAAAGATAAAATCACACAGGGGCTGAATGAGGGAGTCTTGAGGATGTCAGTGAGGGACTCTGGGGTGGCAGATGGGTGAAATTTCAGTACCAAGAGTGAGACCGAGCCCAGTGCATTCTCCTCCAAATAGGACGAAGTGCCTCCCTAATTTAGAAATGAATGTGTATTTTTCCAGGTTGCCCTTGAAGTATGCAGAACATTTTTACAGGAAGATAAAGGTGAAGGAGTCATTATGGTGACAGACCCTCCTTTTGGTGGCTTGGTTGAACCTCTGGCTGTTACATTCAAGAAGCTAATTGCTATGTGGAAGAAAGGTCAAAGTCAAGGTGTGTAATTTATTACTTACTTCAAAATAAACATGTATCTGAGCATTTACTTTCTGTCAAATCAGATCTTGGTGAATCAGAGCACTAAAATATATATGCCTTTGTTTCTGGTCTTTTTTAAAAGCAGGCTTGTTTGTTAATGTGGCATATTTTATCATCATGATACACTTTGTATTGTCCTGATCATGTGTTTTTAAAATGGCTTGTAGATAATTTTGTTCTTATGGGCATAAAGGGACATGAAGAATAGCAGTAAATTGTCTTTTTTTTTTTCTTCAGTAAATACAGGTATGGGCAAAAGTAGGTTTATAGTTGTTTATTTGGAAAATAATGCTAAAATAAATAAGTAATACTACAAAAATAAACTGTGTTTTGTGTACTCACAACTACTTTTACCCACCCCTGTATTTACTGAAGGGCCATGAACCAGGTGGTAGAAATAGAGTAGTGACCATGTCAGCCACATAGCTCTGCCCTCATGCACCTTCCATTCCCTGCTCCTAAAGTCTCGCCCAGGACTCGAAGATACCACCGACCTCTGGCCCAGAGTGCTAGGTCATGCCTGGATTTGGGGGGAAAGTCAGACACCCAGGGGCCAGAGAGTGGTTATCAGTGACACAGATACCTGGTCCTAGCGGTGGAGGAATGGATGAGGGTTATTATTCAGTTTCAGGTGGCTTAGGACTTCCAAGTATTTCATCCAATGATCTAATTAGTTTGTACAATAATTTTTTAGTTTCCAGCTTACAAGTTGATAAATTGTAAGAGCGTTAGGAGTTTGTGATCAAGTTTCTCAGTCAATTGTGCTACATAAATAGTGTGCTTTGGGGGACAGAATGCAAACGAAATCTAAAATATGACTCATAGTGTTAAGTTTTCCATTTATTTTCAGTTCCTAAGTAACTTATCGGAGTGTTTAAAGTCTGTATTATTGGGGAAGCAATAAAGAGCTTTGTGGGCTTGAATTCCAATTCTGCCACTTATCAGCTCCGTGGACTTGAACCAATGACTTAAATCCTGTGGCTTCATTTTCTTCTTCTATAAAATGGGATTATTAATATCTGACTCTAGAGGTTATTATACATAGATAATATATCAAAAGTACCTAGCATTGTGTTCAGCCTATATATAACAGCTGTATTCCTGCCTCTCATAAAAATTAATTTTATATTCTACTTTTTTGGTAACATCTCTACCTTTACATATACTATTGTGATATGCATGTTAGGATTACTTCATACGTGTAGCTGTGTTTAGACATAGGAGAACGTTTCCATTGTCTTTGTGAGAGGTCTGACTGTACATGGTGCTCTGGTAGACATTCCTTCCTTTAGTGTGATTTAAATGTATTGAACGTTGTGGTTTCTTCTGATACCAGAAGCTTTCCAGTTATAGCTGTTATATTTTTTTCTTTAATATCAGTTTCTTATTTTCTTTCTCCTTTTTTTTGTGATCCATTAGATAACAATCACAAAGAACTACCCATTTTCTGGATTTTTCCCTATTTTTTTGAATCCCGAATTTGTCAGTTTTTTCCAAGCTTCCACATGCTGGACTACCAGGTATAGTAACTATTCTGTCTTCTGGTATGGTTGGAGAGTGTATATTCAGCTTAAATAAATATCCTGATAAGACTATCCATTGGTTTTAGTAAATGAAAATACTATAACTTGTGTGAAATACAAATCCAGTGGTATCTCAATGTCTGTTGTCCCTAGGGTGCTTATTTAAAATATGGATTTTTAGGTAGCAAAATAAACCTACTAAAGCAGTATCAGAGGGAGGAGCCCCCCCCCCCCCCCCCCCCACACACACACAAAAACAAACAACAAAAACATTTTACTAAGCTTCCCAGGTGGTTCAGAAGTGCAGCTGGGTTTTAATCTTTTATCATTACCGGAAGATTTCATAGCACCTCATGATCATCATAATGCAGTGGCTTTTTTCTGGTTAGAGATTATAGACAAGTAAGTAGCTTCTTCTGGTCTGTAGTCTGCCATGAACACTTTATTGTGCAACTGCGAGGATGTCAGGATGTCTAAGGGGAGAGGTATGCCTGAGGTCGTGGGGCATCAGAGAGCAGAGATGCTGAGGTCTGTTTGTGAGTGAATGTGTTGATTCAAGGAGGACTTGATTAGACCTCCACATCTCAGCCCAAGGCCCTGGGAACCTGTCTTAGGTGAGAATAGATGCCAGAGGCCTCGGTAGCTCCACCCTTCCCTCAACCTGGTCTTCTGCTTTAATGTCCATTTTCCTGTGTTCATGTCCTTGAGTTCTGAAGTGAACCCATTGTCACCACTAGTATGTGTGGTCACCTTAGTGGGCACTGCTTCCTCTTTTGTAAAGATCTTTTTCTTTTTTAATTTATTTAATTTTTATTGGTTTCAGAGAGGAAGGGAGAGGGAGAGAGAGATAGAAACGTCAATGATGAGAGAGAATCATTGATCAGCTGCCTCCTATTGGGGGATCAAGCCCGCAACCCAGGCATGTGACCTGACCGGGAATCGAACCATGACCTCCTGGTTCATGGGTCAATGCTCAACCACTGAGACACACTGGCTAGGCTATAATATTTTTCTATTTGAGTTTTCTGAGCAATTGACTATCCTCTAAGGCTTTTCATCCTATAATTGTAAATGTCTTCATTAGTTATTCCAAACTAGCATAGGTTCTAATCTTTCTAGTCTTGAAGACATACCATTACGAAAATTATGTAGAAGTTCTGAAAGGAGTAGTGTTACTAAAAACGAGGGGACAGATCCTACCTGTGATTTCACCCCAAATAACAAATATAATTTTGAAGTATTCACTTCCAGTCTCTTTAAAAAGCAGTTTACATATTTGTAATCATAACAGATGAATTTGAATTTGTTTTCTTCACTGTCTTATATAAATGTACATTTAAAATGTAGCTACATAATTTTTATGCTTTTAATAACTTGAAATTATTTCATTGACAGGCTGTGTTATCATTCTCTTCTTTTTGGACTTACAGGTTGCTTCCACTTTTAAGGTGCTATAAATAACCCTGCCATTAACATCTTTTATTCATATAATTTTCTCCCATATTTTACATAACTTCCTTAGAATTCCAAAACTAAAATGGAATTCTAAAAATTACATTATTAAATTTAATAGACATTTTGATGACTATTGGACCATATTAACTGGTTCTTTTCCAAAAGTGTATAACACAAGCCTTTTTAACCTTGACTTTTTGTGCTCTGCTACAAACAAAATCCACATCACAATTCTCAGAGGTGGTTTTCTTTCCTTTTTAAGGCACCCAGTTTTCTGTTTCTTGTCTGAGGGATGCTTCTAATATTGACATTTACAATGCAGAGATAGCTGACGTATCCTCAAGATGTTAACTAAATAAACTAGTTCCCATTTCCAGGAACACCTGCTGCCTTCCACAGTGAATCATTATTAGTACAATGCTTGCACATAGTAGATGCCCTACATGCTGAATAAAAAATGAATTAAAAAGTTAGCATGAACTCTGGATTCGAAATGGAACTGAGTTTTAATCCTGGTTCTGCCAGTCGCTAGCAAGGCGCATGTTATCTAACTCTCTGATGATGCTAATCTTACCTGATAAATAAGGATAGTGATACTGTATCTATCTCATAAGGTCTTATGAATCATATGAGATCAGACATCAAAAAGGCTTAGCCTAGGCCAGTGGTTCTCAACCTGTGGGTCGCAACCCCTTTGGGGGTCGAATGACCCTTTACAGGGGTTGCCTAAGACCATCGGAAAACACATATATAATTACATATTGTTTTTGTGATTAATCACTATACTTTAATTATGTTCAATTTGTAACAATGAAATTGGGGGTCACCACAACATGAGGAACTGTATTAAAGGGTCGCGGCATTAGGAAAGTTGAGAACTACTGGCCTAGGCCCTAAAACAGAGCAAATGTAGAGTAAAGGTTATTGCTATCAGCATTGTCATAACCATCACTGTCATTGTCGTAGCCAGCACTATATTGTCATCATTCAGATAGTCCCAAGGTGGGGGTAAAACTCTCTTCAGGTCCTCTTTTGTATAGTCCCTGAGACATTAAAATTGCAAAACACAGGTTTCTTAGAAAACTGTTCCATCTATTGTGGACAAGAGTTTGAAATGATGAGGAGGTAAAGGCAGATCCAGAATAAAGTGAGAATAAAGTGATGAGAAAAGTTAATGTACAGTAACCCATTATCGTTGTTTAGACAGCCTGTGTAACTAGGAAAGATCTTTTGGAAATATTGGAGTTTAGTTTTGAGAAATATATTGGATATAATTATGTAATTCACTAGAGCAGTGGTTGGCAAACTCATTAGTCAACAGAGCCAAATATCAACAGTACTTCTTCAAAATAGACTTGCCCAGGGTGAAAACTGACTTCTGTGCATGGGCCACGAAGTTTCAATCACACTGTACGCGCGCCCGCTTGTGGTATTTTGTGGAAGAGCCACATTCAAGGGGCCAAAGAGCTGCATGTGGCTTGCGAGCCGCAGTTTGCCGACCACGGCACTAGAGGCCTGTTGCACGAAGAGATTTGTGCAATAGGCTTTCCCTTCCCCTGGCTGCCGGCACTGGTTTTCTCCGGCACCCGGGACCTAGGCCTTCGCTCCTCCTCTGGAGCCTTCCATCTTCGTTCCGCAGCTTCAGGCCTACGTATGCAAATTAACCGCCATCTTTGTTGGGTTAATTTGCATACTTTCCTGCTTGGCTGGTGAGCATAGCGGAGGGATGGTCAATTTACATGTTTGTCTATTATTAGGTAAGATTGTATTAGTGAAATAGGTTCTAATTAGGTCATGTGTATTGGACAGGGTGAAAAGAAGTCTTTTCAATAAAGAGAAAGCCAACTTTTTAAAAGAAAATTTAGAATAGTATTTATGAAACCAAATATTTTTTATAATGTCTACTAAAATAAGACTGCTGCCCCTGACATGCTCAGTTGGAGAAACTGATTTCACCATATCTCCTAGTGCAGATGATAATCTAAAGGAAAAGACGTCAGTGCCCCTGACTAAATAGTCAGGTATTGCATGTTATAAAAACTCTTGTGGCACAGTGGTTGAAAATCTCTGTCCTGGCCTAGCCATTTTGACTCAGTGGATAGAGCATCGGCCTGCAGACTGAAGGGTCCCAGGTTCGACTCTGGTCAAGGGCACGTACCTCGGTTGCAGGCTCCTCCCTGGTGACCATTCGATGTTTTTCTCTCACATTGATATTTCTCTCTGTCCCTCCCTCTCTCTTCCACTCTCTTTAAAAATCAATGGAAAAATATTCTTGGGTGAGGATTAAAAAAGAAAGAAAGAAAGAAAAAGAAAATCTCTGTCCTGGTGGATTTAACCTTTTTTGTTGTACCTCCCCTTTCATGATTTTTCTACCTTTGTTTTTGAAAATGTATCTGGACTTATTATCATCATCATCATCCTTTCTGGGCCTTTTACTTTCTTTTCTTTCTTTTGTTACTTCAACCTCATTTTGTGGTAATTCTTTTTCATTTGTGTTAGCCTCCTTTATCAATTACAAATTTGGAAGTCTCCTCTCCTCCTTCCCAGACTTTTTCCCAGAGACCTTGATTAGGCCTTCTTCCTGATGTTGCCAGAGATGATTATAAGCCCTCAAACCACAATGCAGTAAAACCCCCAAAATCACTACATCTTTTTCTAAGATACTTATCAGGTGAGAGGAAAGCGAATATGCTGCACATCTTCATAAAATATAAATTATGTAGACTCTTCTATGAGAAAGCACTTGATGAGTGCAGAATAAAATAGTTATCAAAGACCTAGGAAACGGAGTGCTTTATTAAGGGGAGATTAGAGAGGAAGGATGTGATAATGAAAAGAAATCCTGATTTAGTCAGAAGTTTGAGTTCTAGCGCTGCCTTATAGAGGCTGTTTAGTCTTAGGAGAAGTCACGTTATCTTTCCAGGTTTCTGTTTCCTTACCTATGAAATAAAATAAAATAAAATGATTGAACCAGAAAGGGGCAGGCAGATAAGTTTCACTTTTAGTGCTAATCCTGATAAATTAATTAGTAGTGACTTTCTGGCAGAGAGCAGTGTGGCTGATGAGTGACGTCTGTTTCCAGGGTCAGGGTCAGGATCAGGCACTGATGGCATTCAGGGCTTGTATTTACCATATCTGAACTAGGTCCTCTCACTTAGCTTCCACCTGGACAGTAGATGCCTAGCACACAGCAGGCTCCTCAATCGATCCTGTTACCTGGCTGATCTCTTGTCCCACTGCCATCCTCCTCCCGCCCTCCCTCCAATCCTTGCTATTTTTTTTTAATCCTCACTTGAGTTTTTTCCCATTGATTTTTTAGAGAGTGGAAGGGAGGGAGGACGGGGAGAGAGAGAAACATTGATGTGAGACACATGGATTGGTTGCCTCCCACACAAACCCCCACTGTGTCGGGGAATCATGGTCTCTTATTTCTACTTAATATGAGACATTTGTCTGGATTGATAAAAGTAGAGCTCTTTGCATTTTTTTCTTTTAAGCTGTCTTTTAAAAAATCATCCCATATAGAAAACTGTGTTTTTAAGTCTAGTTTCATGTTTAGAAATGAAGATATTTTGATAGGAATTTCTGAGGTATGATTGTAAATTAAAAGATGGCAACTGAAATTCTTAAGACTTGATATACAATAAAACATGTAATGGGTTTGGAGTGGCAAGGGGATAATATATATACACAGGGTGAGCAGAAGTAGGTTTACAGTTGTGAGTATGCTGTTGAAACAGTTTATTCTTGTACTATTATTTATTAATTACTAGAGGCCCGGTGCACAACATTTGTGCAGTGTGTGGGGGGGCCCCTTAGCCTGGCCTGCGTCCTCACACAGTCCAGGAGCCCTTGGGGGTCCTTAGCGCTGCTGTGGAGGCTCCCGCCTCCACCGCTGTGCTCACCAGCTGCTCACCAGCTGTGAGCCTGGCTTCTGGCTGAGCGGTGCTCCCCCTGAGGGAGCACACTGACCACCAGGGAACAGCTCCTGCATTGAGCATCTGCCCCCCTGGTGGTCAGTGCACGTCATAGCAACTGGTCCTTCTGCTGTTTGGTTGATTTGCATATTAGCCTTGTATTATATAGGATTGTATTATTTAACATACAGGCAATTATAAACCTATTTTTGCCCCATGCTTTATATAGTAATTTTAAATGAGGTTACTTGGGATATGGAGAATATGAGTAAAAGACCTATTGCTGTGATTGAAGTTGGTTGATAGAGCTGAAGAGTTAGTTCACTTGGGATCCTTTCAATTTTCCTGAATTAAACAGAACATAGTCCTAGGGAGTTATGAACATACAAGTACTCTGTTTTATTTCATCTTTGTTTCCCAGCATGATGTGTGGAGCATAGTAGGTTCAAAATAAATGTTGGTGGACTTGAATGCCTTGGTTTCCCTATAACTAGTTTCAGTCTCACATTACAGAAGAAATTTGTGTAGACATAAAATTAAAAGTTAGGAAGTGCAGAGATTTTGTGCTTTCCCTCATTTCTATACAGTACTTCATCACATTAATCAGTTCCATGGGAGAAATTTTCTATTTGAAAGTGCCTCTCATCATCATTGTGAGTGAAATGTCAGGGATAATGATGGGAAAATGGTGTATCAGCTCTACCACTAGTGATATGCAATTTGCAAAATTGTGTTTGCTTTACAGCGCTTCCATAGGAGGTTTATTTGTGTGGATGAAGCTATGAAATATGGATGTATGTTAGAGGTACATTAATTTATCCTAGCAGCATGCATTTTACATACCATATGTTTATAGTTAATTAGCACAACAAACCCGCATTTAAAAATAATAATAATCTCAATTAGGTTATGCAAAATGAAGCAATCAACCACCTTCCTGACACATATATTCTCCTACTCCTTGGGTAACTATAAAGAAATTGTTCTTTTTTTTCCTTTTCTCCCATCTGTTATCTATTATATTGCCTGGAATATTCCATTTGCTAGAAATCTTTGTAAGATTCTCTTGGGAAGAATTGTTTTTCTTTTGATGTTCAAAATATCTTTGTTGAACTTAATAAGGTGCCATATATTTATTGAGTACAAAGAGGAGTGCAATGAGGAAAATTATGAATTTAAATAATTTAAAAAGAAAACTGAAGTTACTATTTTAAGGTGATTTAGAAGTAAAATCTACTTTTATACCTTAGACTCTAATAGGTAACATATATTCATAGACTTTTAAAATTGGAAAGAAACAGATGTAACGGAGGCTAACTTCTGAGCTTAATAATCCTCTCCACTAAATTCATGACAAGTAGTCATCTATCCTCACTTGAATGCGTTCAGTGAGCAAAGTCCTACAGTCTTACAAGTAAGGCAACTCAATTTATTGAATAGCTCTAATTGTTAGAAAATTTTCTCATATTGAGATAAAATATGCTCCCCATTAACTTCTTACTAGTAGTCCTGCTTCTGTTCTCAGAAGCAATAAGGGATAAGCCTAATTTCTATTCCACATGACACCCCTTCAGTTATAAGGTAGCTATCAGATCTTCCCAGTCTTCTCTTTTCTGAACAAACACCCCCAATATATTAAACTCTAAATCCTATTCATTTCCATTACTTTCATTGGAAATGAGCAGGTTTTACTAATGTCTCTCTTAAAATGTAGTGACTGAATGTGGGGCTTCAGATGTGATCTAACTTATCCTTGCAGTCGAGCTTGGTGCCAGCTTTTGCCCAGTTATGCCGGGCTGTGGACTCATCATACTGACAGCTAACAGAACCCCCAGGGCTGTTTCCATACTGCCCCTTGTTTAGCTGGGCCTCCTCATCCTGTACTTATTCTTCCTCACTGCTGAAGCTTGTTAATCAGTCTTCCTAAATTTGTCCACCTGTAAGTCCCATAGGCATTGGCAGGGCCACTGAGAAAGCTTAGGACTCTACTTTTAAAGGTTTCTCTTTTCATTGTCATCAGTTCATTACAGTTTTGTGAAGATTGCAAGCCAGTTTGTAGTAAATACTTAAGAAAATTTTTATTTATATATATTTTTAATCCTCACTCCAAGATTGATTTTTAGAGAGAGAGAAAGGGGGAGAGAGAGAGAAATATTGATGTGAGACACAGCGATCAGTTGCCTCCCATATGTGCCCTGACAGGGAATCAAACCCTCAACCTTTTGGTGTATGGGACGACGCTCCAATTAGCTGAACTACCTGGCCAGGGTTGTTGTAAATTTGTAAGTGTATTCTTGTTTAGAATCTAAAACAATTCATTACAACTTATTTGAAAGTTGTGATCTACCATATCTGCACTAATAAAAGACAAACATGCAAATTGACCGTACCTTTGCTATGCCTTAGGCCACGCCCACCAGCCAGTCAGAGCTACTATATGCAAATTAACCCAACCAAGATGGCGGCCGGCAGCCACGGAGCTGGAGCAAGCAGGAGGCTTGGTTGCTCCAGTGATGGAGGAAGCCAAGCTTCCTCCCCGCCCTGGCCGGCTCTGAGCTCCACTCAAGGCTACAAAGTTTCAATTATAGAAGGTAAATAAATCCCAGAATTAAAAAAAGAAAAAAGAAAAAAAAGGAGAGGCTGGGAGCTTCCGTCGCCAGGGGGCTTGGCCAGCCTGAAAACGGCCCTCAGCCCCTCACCCAGACTGGCCAGGCACCCCATGGGGATCCCCCACCCTAAAGGGGTGTGGCCAGCCTGCAAACAGCCATCAGCCCCTCACCCAGGCTGGCCAAACCTCCATGGGGTGAGGGTCCCCACTGAGGGGGTGGCTTGACCAGCCTGCAAACACCCATTAGCCCCTTACTCAGGCTGGCCAGGCACCCCAGTGGGACCCCCACCCTGATCCGGGACACCCTTCAGGGCAAACCAGCCGGCCTCCACCCACGCACCATGCCTCTATCCTATATAATAAAAGGGTAATATGCAAACTGACCCTAACAGCAGAAAGATGGAATGACTGGTCACTATGACACACACTGACCACCAGGGGGCAGATGCTCAGTGCAGGAGCTGTCCCCTGGTGGTCAGTGCGCTCCCACAGGGGGAGCTCTGCTCAGCCACAAGCCAGGCTGACGGCTGCCAGCACAGTGGTGGTGGCGGGAGCCTCTTCCGCCTCCTCAGCAGCACTAAGGATGTCTGACTGCAGCTTAGGTCTGCTCCCTGCTGGTAAGTGGACATCCCCTGAGGGCTGCTGGGCTGCCTGCCAGAGGGATGTCTGACTGCCAGCTTGGGCCCGATCCCCCAGGGAGCGGGCCTAAGCCAGCAGGTGGACATCCTCTGAGGGGTCCCAGACTGCAAGAGGGCATAGGCCGGGCTGAAGGACCTCCCCGGGTGCACAAATTTTTGTCCACCGGGCCTCTAGTTTACCTCATAAAAATCTCATGGTATCTTGTGGATACTCTAAAGCACTGGTTCTCAAACGTTAGTGTGCAGGAGGCTTCTTAAAAATACAGATTGTGGGTTTTACTAGATCCTAGGTGGGGCAAGAATTTGCATTCCTAACAGATCCCAGGTATGTTGCCCATCAGACACCACCCTGAAATTACTGATCTACAAAAAGATG